AAAAAAAAAAAAAAGATGTATGCCATTTGCAGCAATGTGGATGGAGCTGGAAGGGATTGTGCTCAGTGAAATAAGTAAGAAGGAGAAGGGGAACCATAGAGTGGTTTCTCTTACAGCAGGAATATAGGGGAAACAAGCAAAGATTAGAAAAAAAATACAGGGGGTCTCCCTGGTGGTGCAAGAGGTTAAAGTGCAGCACTATGAAGCTGTCTGCAGCCGCTGTAGCATGAATTCAGTTCCTGGCCTGGGAGGTGACCCACCTGGCACACAGACCTCTTCTGTCTCTCCCTATGCGTATGTATATTTCAGTCTGCATGTTTTGCACCCCACAGTGTCTCTGGTGAATCCTCTCACCACCCGCAGTTCTGGCCTGTATCCCAGTTATTGTATGCACAAATAAATACATCTTTTAAAAAAGTACAAAACTTGCAAGCAAACTATAGATCTGAGGCACCCAGCAGGGGAGAGGGAGGGAGGGGGTCAACACCAGAGGGAAGAGCACAAAGGGCCATTGTTCATGGGTGATGTGGAGGTGGGACATCTGTGGAGACTACACCTGAAGGGAGACATCAAATACTGCACGACAATAAACAACGATGCAAGAAAAAGATCCTAATCTACCTGGAGCGCTTAGAACAGGGCCTGGCATGTGGCAAGCTGAACGTGTTGTCAATCACAAACCTCACAGTGGTGAAGCTGGTATTGTTCCCTTCATTTGACAGGTGCCTGCATGAGGAAACTGAAGTCCAGAAGAGTCACAGATAATAATTTCCAGGCGGGGGACCGGAGGCCCTATCTTGCGCTCCTACCCTCCAACAGCTCCTGCCATTCTGAGGACCCCAGAAGCCAGGAAATTGACATACGCAGCTTTGAAAGTGGGACTCTAGAAGCTCAGTAGGGCCCTGGGAAACTGAGACAGAGGCTTTGGGGTCTCTGCCTGCCAGTCCTTGACAGGGGAGAAGGGTGTGAAGAGAGCAAAGCAGGTGGAGAAGGAGCCCAAGAACTCTCAGAAGGTGGCGTGCTGAGGGGTGAGGCTCCTGCCTCTCAGTGTGTCTCCCCAGTCACCAAGGTGGGAGCCGAGGAACAAGGTCCGGCCTCCTGGCAGGAAGGGGAGATGCGCTCCTGAGCTCCTGAGCCCTCAGCTACTGATCTGGCGTTCAGCACCTACAGCCCAGCCTGGAAGCCTGGTGACAGGAGTCTGCATTAGCAGCTCCGCGGGAGTTGCTCCCCTACCTCCTTCCACCCCCAGATTGGGAAGCTTGGGCCTGGGCTTGCCATCCCAGGGGCACTGGACTAGGATGGGGGATGGGCTCGTGATAGGGGGTGCCCTGGGTGTCCTCTTTCGGCCCCATGGAGTCCTCCCCCATCCCCCAGTCATCCGGGAACGCTTCTACTTTGGGGAGGGCCCCTCAGACCCCAGGCCCCTCTACTGCCAGCGGGGTCCCCGAAGTGGGGCTACGGGACGTGGCTTCAGAATCTGTGGCCCTCTTCTTCATGCTCCTGCTGGACTTGACCGCGGTGGCTGGCAACGCTGCTGTGATGGCTGTCATCGCCAAGACACCTGCCCTCCGAAAATTTGTCTTCGTCTTCCACCTCTGCCTGGTGGACCTGCTGGCCGCCCTGACCCTCATGCCCCTGGCCATGCTCTCCAGCTCCGCCCTCTTTGACCAGGACCTCTTTGGGGAGGTCGCCTGCCGCCTCTACTTGTTCCTGAGCGTGTGCTTTGTCAGCCTGGCCATTCTCTCGGTGTCGGCCATCAACGTGGAGCGCTACTACTACGTGGTCCACCCCATGCGCTACGAGGTGCGCATGACCCTGGGGCTGGTGGCCTCCGTGCTGGTGGGGGTGTGGGTGAAGGCCTTGGCAATGGCTTCCGTGCCCGTGTTGGGAAGAGTGTCCTGGGAGGAGGGAGCACCCACCATGCCCCCAGGCTGCTCGCTCCAGTGGAGCCACAGTGCCTACTGCCAGCTGTTCGTGGTGGTCTTTGCGGCCCTCTGCTTCCTCTTGCCCTTGCTCCTCATCCTCGTGGTCTACTGCAGCATGTTCCGCGTGGCCCGCGTGGCCGCCATGCAGCACGGGCCGCTGCCCACGTGGATGGAGACGCCCCGACAACGCTCTGAGTCTCTCAGCAGCCGTTCAACTATGGTCACCAGCTCGGGGGCCCCCCAGACCACCCCACATCGGACGTTTGGGGGCGGGAAGGCGGCAGTGGTCCTCCTGGCTGTGGGGGGACAGTTTCTGCTCTGTTGGCTGCCCTACTTTTCTTTCCACCTCTACGTGGCCCTGAGTGCTCAACCCATCTCAACCGGGCAGGTGGAGAGCGTGGTGACGTGGATAGGCTACTTCTGCTTCACTTCCAACCCTTTCTTCTATGGATGTCTCAACCGGCAGATCCGCGGGGAGCTCAGCAAGCAGTTCGTCTGCTTCTTCAAGTCAGCTCCAGAGGAGGAGCTGAGGCTACCTAGCAGGGAGGGCTCCATTGAGGAGAACTTCCTGCAGTTCCTTCAGGGGACAGGCTGTCCCACCGAGTCCTGGGGTGCGCGACCTCTACCCAGCCCCAAGCAGGAGCCACCTGCTATTGACTTTCGAATTCCAGGCCAGATAGCTGAGGAGACCTCTGAGTTCTTAGAGCAGCAACTCACCAGCGACATGATCATGTCGGACAGCTACCTCCGTCCTGCCCCCTCACCTCGACTGGAATCGTGACGGGCTGCTGGACACTTGGAGGGAGATGGGGCTGGGGGCCAGTTATGACTGCAAGGACCACCTTGAAGGATCATCTTTTCTCAGCTACCCGGGGCTGGGGCTGGGGTCTCTGCACACAGCTTTTGCTTAGTGTTTCTGGATCAGGAACAAAGCCAACAGGATGGAGGTGTGGCCAAAGCCTTGGACGTGGCTGTGATTTTTGACTACTCGGGGAGGGGACCTGGTGAGATGGTGATGAGAGTAAAGGGTCACAAAGGTGAGATGCTTCTCCACCCGTGAACTTTTCATGTCTCAGGAAGCAGGGAGATTCTCAGGGTAGGAGCTGGAGGATACAGAGCAGCAGGCCAGGTTTGCAGTTATGCTGGGGACCCTTCAGGCTACTGCATTTCTCAGTGTCATTGTCCAGGGCAGTAATTGTGTCCAAGCAAGGTAAGATAATGACTTGTGTTTTCTCATTTCCTTGCTACGTTTAAAAAGAGCCAAATTACAGCCAACTGTTTCCTTTTCGTTAATATACCCTCCCCTGCTTTGACCAGTGGAGGTTTCCTTACAAGTGGGTTTATTCCTTTCCGGAGTTTGGCCGGAGACAAGGGGAGTGGCAACCAGAGCATGCATGGAGGAGCAGGAGACAGGGGAGCTGGCGCTTGCTATCCCCGCTCTCCAGAAACAGTCCTTCTGCTCTATTTTCTGTGTCTCTCAGCACATGGGAGATCAACCTTGGGCTTGATCTCAGCAGAGGCCAGAATAAGGTAGGGTAGCCCTTCCTCCTTTGCTTTTGGAATGAAGGAGTATAAAGGTTGGGGGCTGGGTGGCTGAAGATTGGAAGGTTAGTGTTTGAGTTGCTGAGGTGGCTGCAAACAGAGAAGCCAGGAGATCACCCTGATCAATAATAATGCACATCTTTTTTCCCCTAGGACTGGCCTCCCTGATCTCTCTCCTCATGGCAGTGACCCACCTCCAGCCCCCTGGACAATTGGGTACAAGAGACTAACGTTGGGAAGGGGAAGGGTGGGGCCCCCATGGTCCATTAAATGCCTCCCTACTTCTACTCATTGCTCTCAAAATTAGCTTCAGTGACGACTTAAATTTCTCTATCTGCAGCCCTGGGTTGGAGAGAGGGCACAGGCGTTGGGCTCAGCTTTTCACTGACTGAAACTGTACACATTATGTTGACTGGTATTGGCGGTGGTATTTTCAAGGTAGCGGAATAACTGCACACTGGACAGGATATCCACCTGGGACTACCTGTCCATCCCACTTCCCTCAACGAATCAGCTAACATTTAAGGCTTGAGGTAGGACCAGAGGGTGATGTGGTCTGTATCTGGAAAAACCCCTGGCTTACTCAATATCCAAGGGCAAGATGGACTGGTGAGAGTGGGGTAGTTTCCCCTTTGAACCGCCAATAAATACTTTTTATTACAAAGTCACACTGGTATCAACATTGACTCCCTCAGTACAATCCAGGGCTTACCAGTTGAATACCCAATATCTGGGAATCACACAGAGGATGTATGGTCACTGCCTTTGGGAATTCATAGTCTAATTAGAGATGATACCTTGTGTTTTTACAGTGCATTTACATCTGGTAAAGCTCTGTAGAATGTTTGAGAAATAGATTGGAGAATATGTTCATGGTTCTAAGGGTTCAGTCCACTGCAGCAAAACACCACAACCTACAGATTGTGGAAAGTGTGGAGATTGTAAGTGAATCTCTAGTTAAAAAAGTAGTTCATTAAACAAACATGGGCAATCAGCATTTCCCTTTAGATCTAGGAAAAATTCCAGGTTTCTGTCTTCCTATCACTAGATTTTAGCATAGTATCTATTAATTAAGTCGAGAAAATCTATTAATTAAGTCTTTTGTGATTGAAGATGGGCTCCTTCCCCCTTCCTTTAAGATCACAAAAGAGGAATCTCTTTCTTAGATAAGGGAAAACTTCCAAACATCACTCATCAGTTAGTAAACCCTACGTATCGCCAGCAGGTGGCAGTATGAGTCCAGCCGAAACAGAGACGGTAAAGAGGGAGGGAAAAGAGAGGGAATTAAAACATTGTTTGGCAGCCATTTTATTAATTTATCTGGCCTTTTCCTTCGCTCTCCGATCCTTCAAATACATTAGTGAAGAAAGCTTTAAGAATAAGAATATATGTAATTCAAGCTGTAATACAGCTATCCTGTAAGGCAGGGCATTTGTAATTTTTGACACTATGATCAGATTGGCGTTATTGCAGAATTTGATATTTGCTGGTTCATCTGCCATTTATTTTCCCCTAAGTGGATGGATTGTGAAGGAAATAAAAATTTCTCTTCTATTATGCGGAGAACTTTTCCAACAATTTCTGCTGTGGCCACTTTCTAGGAATGTTCTAGTCTCTAGGATCACTTGGTAAAGTTCGCAGGTAATCCTGCAAGCTTTGTGGACAAAACATGACCTCTTTAATCCACTGAGAACCAACAGGTTGAGGCAATTGTTCTGTTCCTGCACCCTGGAGTAACTCCCAATACCAGATGACAACCATGTACCCCAGAAAAATTTTAGTGGCGGTGTAGAAAAGGCATGAACTTGAGAGTTAGACCTATGTACTGTGTGAGTTTGAGAACGATGTTTAATTTCTCTGAGCCTATTTCCTAATCTGTAATATGGGGATAAAAATGACCTACTTCACAGGGTTAGTTGTTGTGAGGCTTAGAAGAGGGCCGGTGGAAGCACCTAGCCATCCCTGGCAAATAGGTACTTAATAAATACTGCTTTTACTTCCTTCTCCTTTTGCCCTTTTCCCCATTAACTATTGATTATGGAAAAGCATTACTTTTTTTTTTTTTAAAGATTTTATTTATTTATTCGTACAGAACTGGGGTACAGGCCAGAGATGCGGAGGGTGAGAGGATTCACCAGAGACAGAGCGGGGAGCAGAACAGGCAGATCCACGAAGTACACTGCTGAGGGGAGCAGCGGGCGGGTCAGGAAAGGTCTGCCACGCCATGTGGTCACCTCCGGGGCAGGCGGGGATCGAACTCATGCGGAAGTGGCTTTAGTTTCTTAGTGTAGTGCTTTAACCCGCTGCGCCACCAGGGAGGGCCGGAAAAGCTTTACTTTTTATTCTAACAGTCATTTGGAATTGAGTGGGAAAACTCAAACTCTTAAGAATTGGTACTCTAAGAGAAGAGGGGCATCAAGTTTAGTTGTTCTCAAGAAATTCCTCTAGTGAATGAATCATCACTACATAGACCTTTCCATTGGACTGAAGTTTAGATTCTAGTAGGAAATTAACATAATCACAAGGTTGTAGGCGCTCCAGTGTTCCCCCTCCTATAATGTATGGTCAAAGTATTTGTGGGATAATGAAACAGTAAAGGTAATTTAGGGCCACCACGGCACTACCCAGAATTGTAAGTAAAAATTCTGGATTTTTTCATAAGGCACTTATTTTCAGGGATATGAGAGTTCAGAGGCAAGTTTTAAACTATAACTTCCTCTCTCTCTCTCTTTTTTTTTTTTTTGGTTACCGCAACAGGAAATTTTTAGGAGTCACAGGATGCACTGGTTTCTTCTGGGGTATAGCGCTGAGATTGACCAATCTTGGTGAACTTCCTGTGTTCCTAATGCAGGGTGATGTTTGCGTTCAAACTGGTTTCCATTGTAGAAAGGCAGCATGGGAACTTTCTGGAGCAACTACATGCTTACCTTTCAGGTAATAAGAGTACCTGCTGCTGATTTCAGAAGTCCCTTTGCCAACACATTAGTAGGGCAACTCTCAAATCCACAGAAATTCGTACGTGACGGCACAAGAACTAGGGTACATTTTGACAACAGTGGCGGTGAGCCAATGTGCGGGCAAAAAAAAAAAAAAGATTAAGGTCCTAGGTATGGTCGGTCTTACAGATCTCGGATGCCAGGCGTGGTCAGGGCTCAGGTTTTGCAGTTCCCAATCCGTAGATCTGGTTGACACGACTCTGGGAAAGTGTGCCCCGGATCGGCACAGCCAGCGATCAAAGGGACTTCCTGGCCAGCGAGAAACTCCCTGATGAAATGACTTAGGCGGGTAGTGAGCTGTCTCGGGAATCCCCAAGCCCGCCCAGACCCGGCTGGATGACCTCGCGGGTCCAGGACGCCACGAACGGTGAAGTCCAGCCCCCAGTTTTCCTACATTTTTCTAAATAAGGCGGCCAAAAAGGTGAAAGGGGACTGAGGACGAGCGGCACCCAGCGCGCTCCAGGAGTCCTCGCCACCCCGCGACCGCCACCCAGGCTCCCGCTGCCGCCCGGGCACTTCCGCTTCCGGTCACGCCTCCTCTCCCTTCGCGGGACAGGTTAGAACAGAAACCGCCGCGAGGCGTTGCCGGAAGTGTCGTAGCACCGGATATCCGGTTCTCCGGGAGCGGAGCGAGAGCGGGCCGCCGCCCAGCAGTAGACGCTGTTCCAGCCAGTCGAGCCGCAGTCGCTGCGGTGTGTGAGTGAGCCCGGACGCGGTCCCCTCTCTCGCCGCCGCCATGGGCTGCACGTTGAGCGCGGAAGACAAGGCGGCGGTGGAACGGAGCAAAATGATCGATCGCAACTTGCGGGAGGATGGGGAGAAAGCGGCCAAAGAAGTGAAGCTGCTGCTCCTCGGTGAGGGGCCGGGGCGGGGTTGGCGGGGTTGGCGGGGACTGGGGAGGCCTGGCCACTTGGGAGCCTGAGCCAAGGGGGTCCGCGCCCGCTGGCGGGAGGGACCCCGAAGGGATCGGGAGGGCGTGACGGGTTTGGGGCGGGTGTTGGCTTGGTTGCCGAGGCCTTGGGGAGTGTAATGAGGGGGTGGGGTTAGGAGTTGTAGGAATTAGACTGGAGAGGGTGTGACTCCGCTGCAAGCGTGTGTGGCAATGAGGGCTTGAAAGTGTCGGGGCTGTAGGACGTTGGGACGAAATGAAGACTTATATGGAACGCTCATAAAGGACGAGCCGATGTGAGGGCAGGTTTCGCGAGGGTTGGAATGTGTTCCAGGCAGCGTGCGCCTGGCTTTTATGGTGGCGTGTGAGTTGGGAGCGTGCTGATGCTCTCATGACGAGAGCTGCGAGGCTTCAGTGGTTAGTGTAGAAGGGCTGGGGCAGAATGGTTACACGGGGACCCTATCATTTGTTAAAGCGTGGACATTTTGGATTGTTGGTAAAGTGAAAGAACCCTGTCTTATCCTGGACGTGAAGGTGGATGATTGAGATGAATGACGCCTCTGGCATAAAGGAAAAGACCTGGGTGCACAGGCTTTACTTTTTCACCTTTCCCTAACATTTTAATTCTCTTAAGGCTTTCTTTTTCCTCCCCTTGTTTTTATAAAGGGGGAGATACTGTGAGCAGAAAAAATGTAAGGAATGGTTGGTTTGAGGTTTGTGGTAAAAGACTTAGGGACATTACATTGGGAGTTGCCGAAAAGTTGCTCGGGATGATTGCAGTGGGAACCGAGTTGTCTTAGGCTCCATTACCAAACTGGATTGTCTTTACTGTAAAGGCTGTGACAGACGTCTGGTGAGCTATTTTATCTTTTTTTTAGTCTCTTCAAACTAAAACTATTGACTGACAGGAGTTACTGTTTCTTTCACCTGGCATTCATTATCTAATATTAAGGATGCAAAAACCTCCCCGAACATCAGCTCTTCTCATTTGTGCAGATACATTTTTCAGCATTCACTTTAAAAATTTTGAGAGACCAGACACTGGCTTCTAGAAGCTCAGTAAATCATAAAGTGTTTTGGCATTAGTTTACCAATAAGTTAAACCATAGATCTTCATGTTAGTATCTTTTTAGGTTCTGTTAGAGAAAAATAAATAGGCCAGTGAACTTACACTTGCCTTAGCATGAACTTTAACAAGTCACGTAGAAGTTTACTTTTTAAAACAACTGACCTTTTGATAAAAAGAAGTGGTGTTCAGGGGAATGCCAAATTTTTACGATGTAAACTTATAGAGGACAGACTGTTGTAACTCAAGGCTAAATTTTTATGTGATGTATTGTGTGTATCTTCTGGTCTCTTCATGTTAGCATAGTAGGCTGTTTTAGGTTGCACATGCCCTGGTATTTTTGGATTTGGGGGAGTTTAAAGTTCCAGTTTGAACGCTCATCTTTCAGCACCCAGGAATTCAGTTTGTAGTTCTAGACTGCAGCCTCTTTATCGCAGGTGTTATTTGTGAAGGAACATTGTAGGTGCGCCTTGAATATTTACTGTTGATTAACGGAGCCAGCTAATGTTAGGCATTGCCCTTTGAGTCCTTTCAGGTGTCTAATGTACACCACCACACTCAGGGGGTTTATGTTGAATTTGTTGATTGAATTGGTTGTCATCTTTTGTGAGTGCTTTGGCTTACATGAACCCTCCGACATTATGGCAGTACATTAGCCTGTTGTAGATACCGGTGTGGACTCTAAGGCTTTGTTCCAAATGGTGGGATTTGGCAGATAAAGTGTAGGCAAGCAAAATTTGTCCATATGTCTGGAAAACTCTTTATTCAGGACTTTATAAATAGTACATTTAATTAAAAACAATGTTAAACACATAATGTCTTTGACAACTTGAAAAGCATTCTTTAAAAATTAAAATACTAAAAACATTTGTTTCTCATTTTTGTCAATTTTATTCCTTTTTAAGTTAGTCTTTTATAGCCTTGAGCAAGTGAAATAACAGTTGCTTTTGGTGCAAATGTGAAATTAAGGTAACTTTCCTTGCTAATTCTGTGAGAAATGCACCCGTCAATGTACAGAATACAAGCAATTAATTTTGACTATAGTATCCCTTCTTTACTGGACAGTCATACTCTGCTTAATGACCCGGATACTTTCTGAAAAGGCGGTTGTTGGGCGACTTCATTGCTATACAAATGTCTGAAGGTGTAATTATACAGACCTGGATGGAATAGTCTGTGCTACAGACTACTACACCAAGGCTGTGCGATAGCCTAGTTAGACTCCTGGACTTACATGCTGTCTGTCATTAACCAAAATGTTGGCAAGTAGTGCGAGACTGTGCCTACAGTAATTTTTTACCTCACCAGTGTGATGCAGTCTAACTTAAGATCTACTTACCCTCGTCTCGTTTGGCATACAATCCATGTTCATTAATTTTTACTCTATTTTCTTTCTTGCAAAGATATAGTCGAGTCTAGTAATTAACAATGTGGGCTCTGAAGTCATAGTGTTTCAAATCGGAATGTGTTCCAGGCAGCGTGCGCCTGGCTTTT